ATATGGTGAGAGCTATCCCAGAGTCTACTGGTTCTGAAAATAAGTTATCTGTCAAGCGGGTTGATTTCTGTCAGCCTGCATCAGAAACAGGGGCGTGGAATTCTGCTTTTGCTTCAGAAGGAACTCAACCCTTTTCAGGTCAAGGAAATGGAGTGAATGCATTAATCGATTTGTGCCCTGAAAGCAAGGATTTGATGGAGGTGGAAACTATGGGTTCGTCCTGCCTAAAGACCATGACAGAAGATACTTCAGGTGATTAAATGCTTTCATTATCCCCAAGTTATATTTTAGGCTCAATCTCACATTTGGCTCTGATACTCAAGGCGTAGCCAAATAAAAAACGCAAGATGTTAAACTTCTTTTGATATAATACTCTCTTTAGCAAAATAGAGTAACATCCATTATTTATTCCCATAAAAAGCTCTACACTGGTAAATGTGTTGCCTTTTTTGTCTGGATACTGTTTTACTGGCCCCAAAAAAAATGTGTGTTTAATTTTGGGATTATCAAGCATCATCCATGTCCTTAGAGCAAACAGGGTCAACTAGAAATGAGGTCTCCTACAGTCCTAGTCTTACATTCGATCTCTGGATTTGGCACTATTGGAAATTTTAGTACTATTTTGTTGCAGCTGTTCTTAGACGATGTTGGCATCTGACACTTTATTGTTCTGCATTTTGGTTGTGGATTAATGGAGTAATATAAGTTTAGTAAGAAAGAAATACAAAATTTAGAGTGTCTAGACCAGTTTCCTCGTTTACTTCTCTATAACCATGCAGGCATTCCTGCCCCAAGACCAGTTTCAATGAGAGACATGGGAACAGAAATGACTCCAATTCCAAGTCAAGAGCCTTCAAGGAGTGCTACTCCTGAAGGTTCCACTACCCCATTCCGTAGCCCAACTTCTTCTATGCCATCCACTCCTCGAAGAGGAGAGCCAGCAACCTCTCCAATAGAGCACTTCGATAAGAATGCATTGCAACTTTCAGCGGAAAAATTGAAAACAGAATTGTCTAATCAAGAACAAAATCTCAACACAAGAAGAGAAATTGTAGCCCTTGGTGTCCAACTTGGTAAGATGAATATTGCTGCTTGGGCAAGTAAGGACGATAAAGAGAAAAGTAATTCTGGAAATGAAACCATTGATTCTAACGAACTTGAAGGGATTGAATATGCAAAACGGGCATCTGCATGGGAAGAAGCTGAGAAATGCAAACATGCTGCCAGGTTTCTCTTAATAACAGACACTGAAGTTTTTCTTTTGGACATTTTTTGAACTAGTAAAAAGTTAGTACTGGATGCAATGCTTTGACTGAATCATGTCCTGTTAGGTTTGAACGAGAAGAAATAAAAATCCAAGCATGGGAAAGTCAACAGAAGGCAAAGCTTGAAGCTGAGATGAGGAAGACAGAGGTACCGTTGCTTCTCCTCATATCTCATATCCCATATCTGTATATTCAGAATGTTCAAATCATCCTAGTATCAAGGTTCTCCATCCTTTCTCCATCTTTCATAATATAATATTACATCATCATAGTAACAAAATTCTCCAATTTTTTGAAAAGCCTCTCAGATACCTGTTGATTTTTTATTGGATGATGGAACTACCCCCACTCCCAAAAAATAGTTTTACCGGTTTTAGTTAATGATAGGATACTGCCAAATTTTTCTTAGATATTTTAATGCATGCCTAACTTCATTTGGAGTTTGAGGTTTATGCTGATAAACTGTAGATTAATACTTTATGTTTTATCCATTTCATAAGGTTAATTCGCATGGTAAACAATTTTCAGGATACGATCTATTTGTGGCATTTAGCCCCTCTTTGAGCTCCATTTTTTTAAGAATTCATTTTTTAAATTTCATTTTCAACCACACATTCTCCCGTAAAATAATTACGCACGTATTTCAAAAACTTTTTCTTACATTTTTACCACACATTCTCAAAAAATCACTATTCCATAATACATTTTAACCAAAAATGGGGATCAAACAAGGGCTTAACATAAAATTGTTTAGATTCTTTGAAATTTTCATATTTCTTGCTGTCATTTGAAAGTATGATCGGCATCATTATTGACAATCTATTTCTAAACTGATATGTGAAATTTGATGAACTATGTTTCATATGAGATTTCATGTTCTTTTTCTGTGTTGTATCCATAGCATCAGATTGTCAATCCATGTTTAACTAGATCACTAGTATGTTGATGGGCTTGCTTATCATATCGAGATTTTGTGGAGTTCTGTGTCCGCTATGAACCATTTGAGAATCACACCTTTTGCTACCCCTAACTTTTGAGTTTTCCACTGTTTACAAAATCCTTATTTGACATTCTTTCTTTCCTCCAAAATGGTATAATAAACAGTTAGGCTATGGTTGCACACTGAATTAGGCCATTTAAGAAATTTAGTATAAAATAGACAGATTATCATGGATCAAGTTGTATGGTGTTGTTTAATTTTTTTTCACTCAAAAGATGGCCATTTGCACCATGAACCGTATAAAATAATTTGGATGTTTGAGGCGGGTTTAGGCTGGATAAGGAAGATATAGCGCCTTTTTGAGCCCCATTTTTGGGTTAAGAATGCATTTTAGTATAATAGATTGATTGAGAATGTGAGGTTAAAAAATAAGGAAAAGTTTTGGGTTTGAGTGTAATGTTATTTTATTGAAGAATGTGTGGTTGAAAATAAAAGAAAAATATATATTGTGGAAATAATTGGGATCAAATAAGGGCATAGTAAATGACATTCTTTTGAACGAAATGTCAATGGATACTATCCACCTTAATGTACTATAATAATATCTATCTAATAATAAGTATAGTAATTTTATACTGAATTCTTTATACGACCTAATCCGGTATGCCAAAAGTGGCCTTATTGGTTTACTTCGTCCAATAAACTCAAATTTTTTAAATCTTTCATAACTTCATTCCTCTTCAAGTTGGTTGTCTTATATATTTTGCTACTAAAGCCTCGGTTTGTCTTTTGTTTTCTGGACATTCGTTTCTCTTTTACATGTTTGCATTTTTTTTTTATAACAAACAAAATTAACGTTGAAAAGAGCATTTCATATTGCAATGTTGATGAAAATTGAATTTCAGGCACAAATTGAGCAAATGAGAGCCCAGGCTCAAGCAAAGATGGTGAAAAAGATAGCGATGGCAACGCAAAAATCAGAGGAAATGCGGGCTGCTGCAGAAGCTAGAAAAAATCGACAGGCTGAAAAAACTGCTGGAAATGCAGAGTGCATTCGCCAAACAGGTCGAATTCCATCGTCCCCTTTTACATGTTGTGGTTGGTTATAATATCAAGAAAGTTGCACAAATAAGAAGCGAGTAGTCCAACAATCCATGGATTGCTAACCTGTTATATGTCATCCATATTTGTATTTACTGTAAAATTCAAAGTAGCCTTTAAATAGAGTGAAGAATATGTGATCTTACTGATATATCTTATATAGTGTCAACTATATTTATCCAGTGTTGTAAAAATCTTTTTCGAACTGTTGATTTCTGGTCAATTTATTTAAAATTTGAAGCCCTCTTCATCCAGTGCAAAATAATTCAAATTTGCACTATAAAACTTGGAAAATTAGAATATCAGAAAGATTTTGGTGTATTATTAAATTTGTCCAAGAAAAGATTAATTTGTAGAAAAACTTTACTGTAAATAAAAAGGACACTGATGTGAATGGCATACACATCTTCCTTCTTGAGACAGTTATCAAGTCAATTTGTCTTAGAGTTTACTTGAAGTCAAGGAGTGACTTATAATAACATATGTTTAAGTTCTAACCTGCCAAGGAAACCTTGGCGAGGCTGAAATTCTTCATCACATCACATGAGGTTAGACTTGGACCGTTCGAAAATGACCCCAAATTACTCAATTGGCTTTGAGAAATCGTGCGCGCTAAAACTAGAGGATTTGAAGAGAACCGAAATATGAACAATGGAAAGTTTATAAAGTTCCGTACTGATAACGAGAGAATTTAATGTTGCTTTTGAATGCCAATATTTTTCATGGAAAATGTGTTTTTCATCCAAATTCTTGCTTTTTGTGCCGTTTGATTGATATTTTTTCATAAAAAACATTTTCCTACTTTTGGTCACATGACCATATTTTCTACAAAATCAAGGAAAATATTTTCTTTAGAAGGAGTAGGATTTTATTTTCCAGGAAATTCTCTCTCTCTCTCTCTGTATCATATACCCACCAATAAAAATCAGACAATTATAATTATTTCTAGGTTGAAAATTAAATCAATCGAACACATTTAATTGACAGTTTCCATGCAATAAATTCTAGCTATTGAATTATCTAGAATTTATTTTCTTTCCATACAAATTTCATGCTTACAATCAAACGCACATTAAGTTTAATATAGACTGAAATTTCATAAATGTTTGGCCGAAACATGTTAAAATTTCGATACATGTCAGGATCAAGAACTAGATCTATAATTGTTGGTTCTAGTACCCGAAACAGTTTAAAACTTGAGAGAACCGAGTCCACCTATTCGATTATGACCCTAAGTAACTTGCAGGGCTTCAAGATAAAGGAGGTGGGACGGTCTGGTTTTGAACAGAACCAAACCAATGAAAATCTTATATTTAGAATCATTGGTTCCAAATTAATTATGGTCGATTCCATAGTGATATATAGAGTAAAAGTTTCAAAAATGACTGAACAAAAACGTTAGAAGTTTAAATTCATTTCGAATTTTCGATTGTCAGTTTCAGCACCCAAAACAACTCTACAACGTCCAATGAAATTATGCCATCTGAAAATTTGGCTGAAAAAAATCTCTGTACATATAACATGATCGTTGATTTACAGGGTCGTTGGAATTCCTACCCTACCTTTAATCAGTGCTCTTCTTGTTGGCTTGCACTTACACTAGACTCCCATTTCATTACCTCCCATCCCCTTCTGTAAAAACCTCAAGAGTTATCAGTTTTCAAAGCCAATAGGTGAAATTCAAGTTCAAAAAGTTTAAACAAATATACAAGGGAAATACATATAGTTTTTGAATTGACATAATACAACATTAGTATCAAGTTTAACATTTCTTCAACTCTAAATAGACTACAGCATGATAAAAAAAACTACAATTAATTCACAGACACTACAGTCCTAAAATACACGGGTTCTTGTATTTCAGGACGGAAAAACAGACGACGTTATGCTATAATAATTACCAGTACAGTTTACATGTAATGGCTCAAGCAAGAAGCAAGAAATTCTATCCCACCAAAAGTTGTAGGAAGAAATGCTAATATTACAAAAGACTTGTTTTCTGGTAAAGTTCTAAAAATCAAGAGTACCAACAGATGGTATCCCCGCATTCATATTCCTGGACTCTTGCCGGCTTGCATAGCTATCACAGCTGCTGCCCGGAAGCCTCTGAATAGGAACAGAATTCAGAAGTTCCAAGCCTCGTTTTCCCATCTCTTGCACCTCTTGTGGCGAGAGTATCTTGATACACCATACATTGTTTACAAATTCCCTGGAAATAGAATGAACAAAGTATGCATCAGATGTGAACATGCAGTAACAATTGTGTAATATGGTAAGTTGGCAAAAATCATATCTGCAACGTTGTAGGAGGCAATGTTTTCATTTAACGCTAACAAGAAATTCAAAATAAGTACTATGAATTTTGAAATAAGTATAATTTAACAGCAGGCACTTCATTTGCACAATAAAGGAATATAATAGAATAGGCACTTTCATTGTGATATTGATTAAACTAACCGGTCAAATAAGACACTGACTAATGGCCTTGATTACCCAAGTTATGCCTCTTAATGCTAGAAACGACATCGACAAGAACTTGTGATGATAGTTTCACGTCCATTGAACCAGACTGAGTACACAAGGTGCATGTAAACACAAAATTTTATGTAACAGATTTTTAAGACGGAAAAACTCACAGCCAAGGGTCATCGCCAAGGAGAAGTACATCGTTCTCTCGGTCCACAAATACAAGCTGCCAGCCTGATCTCAAAGGGTCCTCCAATTGGCCGTCAAGGCCAAACATCCGTGCAAGCTCACTGCGCAGCTCATGATAGCTGCTGAACTTGGTCATATCTAGTGACCTTCCGAAGGACCCAGACTTGTGAACCTGTTGAAAAAAGGAAATACAAATGTAAAGTTAATATGTGGAATGTAAAATAGTTCATTTGGCAACCCTACCAATTCCCTCCAACAATCAATCAAACTGCCAGGTATGGGAGAACAACTTCGCCATTTTGATAACATTATCAAGGCAGCCTACCTTAACAAAGGTTTTGGAAGATGGGTCCGGTTGCCCCATGCTTTTGGACGACTGCATTACACTCGACTCATTGATACAACTGGAAGAAGTTACTGCAGGGTCAAGTGAATAATCAGTGCCAGTGCTAGTCAAGTAGTTGGAAGAGGGGAATGCTATAGTCGGATTATCGCAATCACTGCCAACTCCCCTAAGATTTGAAATCCCATTCTGTGTGAGGAGGGAAGAGGAATCCATATTAAATCCAAATAGAAGGTGATTTTGGGGATCGTTGCTTCCTTCTTGGTCCATAAGGCACTCCCTACCAGGAAACGGGGGCAAAGAAACAGCATTTTGAGATACATTAGTGTTTGGCGGTGCTAACTGATCTGACGATATACCCTGAGATACTCCCAAATGAAAAAGAGGATCGATGGCAACCCTCTTTGTGGGCCAACCACTAGAAGATAACAAGTCACTTGATCTAGGCACATTAAGAAGGTTGGGTGACTCAACCTGGGAGACTGAACCCAATAGACTGTGAAGAGGAGAATTAATATTGCTAGTGACAGTTTTGACATTTGAATCCAGAAAGTTCTGTGGATGCATGGAAGAAATGGATTGTCGCTCCGAAGACAGGGCTTGAGAGTTTGAACCAAATTGAGATAGGACAGGTATGGCACTTGAAACCTGCTGAGGATCAATTAATTGCTGCTGTTGGAACGGTAGATTACTGAAAGAGTTTTGATGCTGCAATTGCTGCTGAAGATGATGAGTTTGTTGTTGCAGAGATGCCTGAGGGTGGCTTTCTTGAAAGGTTTGAAGAAAGGGAGAAGGGGAGTGAGACTGCTGCATGATCTGAGACTGCACCAAACCTGCAGTCCTGCTAGCGACAGCTGGGGGTTGCTGGAACTGGACAAGTGGTGAGAGGATCTGTTTCGAAGGATCGACAACCCTCATCTCCTGAAGAGCAGCAGCAGCAGCAGCAGCCATAGCTTGGTACATGTCAGTTCGCATGCCAAGTGTTGAAGTATCAAGCCTTGGCTGCATCCATGGCGTGACTCCCATTCCTTGGAAGTTCAAAGATTGCATTCCACAGTCCCCAATATCTCCACGGAGCCACATAAGAGAGGAATTTATTCCCATATCATCATTCTTCATCCCTAAGAGCAACAAACAATATTAGTTACGGCACTAGAGATTGTGTATTTCCAGCCACAATGCTGAGTGGCTAGTGATAAGAACAGGTAGCAAAAGCAATGTAAAATGTTTAGGTCAGCAAGGATAGAATAAAAAACAATCAGAAAATTCAACAGCATACCACTGAACGAAGGAAGTCCCGGTGGCCATGGTCGCTTTAGTCTCACGGGAAATGGTGATGGATACATGGGGAATGTTGTTAAAGGCTCAATTTCCCATAGGGAGACCCTAGGCTGCCTTTCACCAGCTGTAGATTCATCCCAACCAACCTGCATCAATGAGGTGAAAGTTCAGTTTATCATGGACAAAATAATTGAAAAGGATGAGATTTCAAAGTTTCAATTCAGTTACTTTTGGAGCAACGAGGAACAATAAATATTGCCAGTATTCATCAAAGAATAAGAGGAAGTGTGGACCATACTGTTATACCTTCACGGATCGCCAATGTGAATTTGGCCACCGAACAGGATCAAAGTCACTTATGCCAGTTATGGTCCCCATATAGCTGGAACCAAGCACATTGTTAGAATTTTCATTTGAATGTATACGACATTTAGTAAAAGAAGGACTTACGAGGGAAGATGAAATGAGCATATAAACCCAAGGAACCATGAAAGATACATAATATCCACTCCCAGACAGATACATTGAACTTGAAGGGCATACCAACATTACCAGTCTTGGTCAGTATTTATAAGTCAATCTGAACACCAAGTTCCTTGTCTTAAAACTATTAAAAGGGGTGTCAAATATTTCTTTAGCTCACAAGTTGGACAGTAGCTCATATTTACATAGAAAAGAAAAAGATTCAAATTATTGGAAGTCAAACTGCTAACCTAGGAAGATGTTAGATAAATATCTCTAAAAACAAATAACAAAAGCAAGTAAAGTTCTGCAATAATTATCTGGAAACCTACCGACGAACGCTAGATTCTTCTGTTTCAAACAGCATCCTGAAGCGCATACCAACAGACACTCGAGTATGATAAACTGCTTTTACATATTTGGCCAGAGGTATAACAAATTCTGATGGACTAGCCCTGTAATTAGAGAACTAATTAACTTTAGATACCACTGATCTGAGAAGTATAACCTTGATCATGGTTCAAAGTGCAAACCTTGGGTTGAAAAATATGGTGAAACGACTATTTGTTGCAGCTGCATGTGCAGCAGCAGCAAGAAGCCCCAGATGCATGCTGTCGCTCGACAAAACTGAAGAAGGCATGACAGTTTGTGGGCGATTGGCACGTCGAATACCAAGAAGCAATTGATTCTTGTCATTCCTAAAAAATGTAAAAGAAACAGTTCAAATGTAAATTTAGACCCTACATTTAGCCCCTGTTTGGCCCCCATTACGGGGAAAATTTAATGTATAGAATAGTGTTTTTTGAAAAATGAGTGGTTGAAAAAGAAAGAAAAATTTTCGATTTACGTGTAATATTATTTTATGGAAGATTGTGTGGTTGAAAATAGGAGAGAGAAAAATAGAATGTAATGTAATGTAATGAAAATCAAACAAGGGCTTATTCTCAAATGTTGCAGAAATATTACACAGCCAGGATAGCAGAACAAGAAAGAAAATGCCACTTAGGATATGAATGGAAAATGTCGATCTAAATCCCAATAATGAAAGTTCATCAGATGACAAAGATGGTCACTTCAAAGGGATGTTATGAGACCAGAACAATTTATTGCCTACCATATGAAAAGGACTGAATCACCCGCAACAAGTCTTTTTGCACTGACAAACACACTCCAACCAGTAGTAAGAAGATGCCTCTTTGGCTGACCTGTGAAGAGAATAGCCAGCATATATTTCCAAAGAAAAAATCACAAAATAATACTTATATTAAATACAATTAGAATGCTCCCCCCACAGAATTGAATATTCTAAAAATACATATCTTGAAACTGAATTAACTTGCTATGGATTATGTCATTTGTATCAAATAGGCAGAAAAAAAAAACTATAGAATAGAATATGAACAGCAGCAGGATATATTCCGAAATTAAAAAGTTTAAGCTTTACCCAATAATCCCCAATTAGCAAAAATCCAATAAAAACGAGCACATTCTCCCCAACCCAACCCCTTTACTCTACCTACAGTTAAGAAACTTTACCACGGAAAATATGTCTGAATTTCCACTCATTGTTATGCAGATCCCGTGCAATCAACTCTTGAGCTGGAGGTTGCTGGGAAAAGTCCTGCAGGTTGAGAATATTAGAACATATGTACAGGACATCAAAGATAAATGAACCAAAGCTGGACAGGCTATAACTTTCTAAAAACCAGATTTATTTACCAATGGTGGAAACACTTTCTCAGCTGCCCGGCGGGGAACAGAAAATCCACCATGAGTACTAGTATCACTCGCCGTTAATGTTTTGCAGAAGTAATTCGTTGGCTGTTTGCTGGAGGAGCCCAGATCTGCAGGAAGGAAGGTAACATCCTTTTGCTCTTGCTGCATTAAAGGCGAATTAGGATTTAACTAAATGGAAACGAAACACGAAATAAGTGACAACCTAATCTTAAAATAGAGTTGACGACATACTAGGCTCAATGGTTGCAAGGTCATTTGTGCATAAACCTCATCAGTCTCTATATCAGCCTACATAACAAATAATAAGCTTCTAGCACAAACTTGTAAGTTTAATTGGAACACGACAAAATTGAAGATCTCTTACATGCATGGTTGCATTATGAAGCTGACAAATTAGTTGTGGAGGTAAGCTCGTGTAGTTTGGTATTTGTGCATCAACTTCCTTGTTGGTTGATACAGCAACCTATAGAGAAACCATTGAGAAATCACGATCTAAACATGATCTTTGTTTTTAAGACACCACTGCCATCAAGAGCACCAGCCAATGATCCCGAACAAAAACAAATTAATAGTAAATGTACTGAGCTTAACAACATTCGACCTTGAGAAACTGTAATTTATCAAAACAAAAGGCCAATGAACAGACCTGTTCACTGTGACCCTGCGGAAAATACACCACATGGCTCCCAACAGCAGGTAGAGAAACAAGAGGACCAGCACAGGCATGCCAAAGTTCAGAATTCAGACAATTCTTATCACCTGAAAATCAAACTAAAAGTATAAATATTCTTGTACTACCATATCCTCATAAAATTTATGAGTACTATTTTGAAGAATAAATTTTTTGGTGTGAATTTTGAAATCACAAAGCAAAAATGAAAATGAGCATTAATGGCAAAAAATTAATAACTCTGATAACATGCAGAAGAGACGTCTATGGGCAATCCTGAAATAAAGACTTTCAATCCTAAGAATTATAATAAAGTCTCTCTGATACAAAATTATAAAAATAAAAATAAAGGGGACTCACAAAAAAAAAGAGGGATATCAGGGATCTTGACAAAAAAGCTTATTTTTTCATCCAACTGCCCATTGAAACCCAACCTCCCCCCCCCCCCCCCCCCCCCCCCCCCTCTTTTTATATTCATTTTCGATCGCACATTCACATAATAAAATTTATTTTACATGTAAATCCATAAATTTTTAATACTTTTTAATTGCACATTCTTCACAAATTCACTATTTAAACAAAGTTTTCCCTGAAAGATGGCCACCAGACAGAGGCTAAATTATCGCCTAAGCCATAAGAATATTTTCACAAATTAACTACGTGGTGATTCCACTTTGATTGAGCGAAACAATTTTCGATAATAATGTACTGAAATCCAAATTGCTTTTGTGAGATATGCAACATTAAAATAGTGAGTAATTAAATTGAAGAAAAGACACTTTACCTTCAGGAGACTGCTGATTTAAACCAGCAGAAGAGGGCTTCATTGCTGCAGATTCAACAGTAAAGGATGGAACCAGAAAGAAAATTGCCCTTTTCAACCCAAATTTGGCCTCTATAACTCACCAAACTTCAACGCATGCAGACATAGCACTTTATACCCACCCCACCCCTTCACTGCCAAACTACCAAATATGGTGCAAGAAAATTTAGGAAATAATTTCACATGAATATTTTTAGGTAAATTTAGCTTTAGCTTTCCCAGTAAATATATATATTCAACCAAAACCGGTTCTACTACAAAACACAAAAAAATTCAGCTTCATCAGCTCTTTATATTCTTCACCAAACACCCCCAGGCACAGAATTTCATTTCCAAGAAATTCATATGCCAAATCTTGAACCCATCATCAACCACATTTCAGCTCAAAACCCACCACAAAATCTAATCTTTTAGCTTTAACTGAGAAATTTCCAATTTATAAGCCCGAAATTCCTCAAAGAACACGAATCTTTAAGATCCAAAAATCTGATACCCAGAACCAAAATCCCAAAACCTTAAATACCCAGTTCAGATCTCGGTTTCACTCAATCAACGAACTCGAACCCATAATCACAAGAAAGCTTCGACCTCGAACTTCCGATACCAAGTTTCACCACCAAAAAGGCACCCGTAATCTGTTATTCACACAACTTAACGACTTTGGCCAACAGATGAAGCTTATTTTCACGGTTTCACCTCATTCAAGCTCAGCTACACGAATGGCCTGCAATTCCGAGCGAATATTCAAACTGAAGCACGGATGAATGCCTGTGCATATCAAGCAGAGATAAAAAGGAACTAGCTCTACTTATCTGCCTGTGATTTCACCTTTATATTTACTACACTGTATCTCTGCGTATATATACACAGAGGTGCAATTTTCTCTTTCTCCTGAGCAAATCAATCAATTCAACTTTTTTTATAATATCAAGAAGTCATTTTTTAAGCCAAGATGGAGAGAGAGAAAGTGTATTTGTGTCAGATTTTTTTTCTAGAAAGAGGATTAAGTGAGAGAAAGTGGACCATTCAATAATTAGTAACTTGCATTTACTAATTTGCCCTTAATGCCTTTAAATGCAATGGGTGCACGGAAAGTGAAGTGAGCCTAATGGAAAGGGACTGGATTTAAGATTTAGGGCTAGAAGTTGCTGTTGTTGTACATCAATGTTATGGGCCCGAAGTGGGCCCAACAGAAATTGACCATTATTGTTCTTTAAATTTTTTTTATTTCTAATGCATATCAATATGACACTCCTGAACAGGGCAGGATAAGACTATCCACTTACTTATACAACAGGAAAATCTCACTTACGATTTTCTCCAAAAGTGAGAACTCTAAACTCCCATTTGGAAAAGATTAAAATTAGATTTTTAGTAGATTTTAATAAAAATTGATGAAACGTATGGTTGAAAAGTTATGGGACCTATAAAATATGTAATTAAAATAAATTATTGACTTTAATTTATATTAAAATTTACCAAACACAAGGTAAGCAAGGATCTCTCCAAAATGAACAAGACAAGACTTCCCACAATGGACAAATGAACATCACTGTTGATCCTATTTCAATTTAAGTAAATGAAAAATCTCGATCATCATCTTCTTTATATAATCGAGTAATGCTATTTATAATTAATGATGATCATTCCAATTTAATGGTAGTGGTCCTAATATATTTTGTTTGATTCTCATTTTTGACCAAAAGTGTATTTTAAAATACTATATTGATAGAAAATATGTGGTTAAAAATAAGAAAAAATTCGAATTTGGGTATAATATTATTTTATTGAAAAATGTATGGTTGAAAAAAAAGAGTAAAAAAATGTATTTTAAAAATAATTTGGATCAAACAAGGGCATATATATAACGGAGTTTATTATCCAATATAACTTTCATTGGGGTCTGTATAATTGTAAAGATGGAATTTGGGTGGAAAGAAAACGAATTCAAGGGAATTGAATTACCTAGAACTTGTTTTTCTAAAAATTGTCAATTAAATGTGTTTGATTGATATAATTTTTCACCTGAAAAATGTTAAAATTTTGGATCTTTTGGAGTTTGTTTGATCTTGTCTTTCATGAAAATTGTCAATTAAATGGATAAATTTTTTTACAATTTTTGATAGATTTTGTTCTCATTGTTGAAAATATAAAAAAAAAAAAAAAAAACCTGGAAAATCGAATTCCCACCAAGGAAAATGCACATGTGTGGGGGAAAAAGGTGGAAATTAAATTCTCTAAAAAAATATTACAATCAAACGCTACATTTTGGTGGAAAATGCAAATGTTACATGAAAATGTGGCCAATAAAACATGGCCTTTGAAGAATTCATCAGTTGGAAATAGTTGTGATCGTACCTTTCTCTTCATTGAAAGTCTACAAAAGATATCTTTTTCCGTAGACAAGAGGACTACATGGAAACATACATCCTAAATTCAAAATTAGGAAGAGGAAATGACCTTATCAAAATGAACATGGAGTGGTTAATGTAGAAAATATTGAAGATATATTATTTTGAATCTTTTCAATGAATTCATTTAGCTTACTATCAGAATATGGTATAATTAATTTCCATTTTAGTTTTCCGCATGTTTTATCAATTCAAGAGACGACTAATTTAAAATTAATTGGTTATTTGGAAGAGGAAAAATGATTATGCTTAATGAATACATTGTTGAACTCTCGAACAATAAAAGAATATATGACATTGAATGATAAATGAATTTATTTAACTAGTTCTTTAGTTTGTTTTTGATCAAGCAAAGGAAACTCAATGGAATTCATAACATTTTCAATCCTTTATTCCCTTCTCTTTTTATTGTCTGAATATTCAGGAGGTAAGACCATTCCAATGCCCCCTTTCGCCCCAGTGCTGGAAGGTCAAGGAAGTTGTTGACCTGATGACAGGGGAGCTGACGATCGAAGCCCCAATGAACCGCGACCGTAATTATAACAGTCCTAAGGTAACGAATTCTTTGTCGGGTAAGTTCCAACCCGCACGAAAGGTGTAACAATCTTTCTGGATTCAACACAAAATCACAAATAAAATAGATTCATAAGTTTGGTATCTTGTATAAAACTAGTTGGTGAAAGAAATATTCGATAGATCACATAGAGCCAACGAATGAGGTGGGTTGATTAACAATTCACATATGAAAAAATGGCAAAAATTAAGGCATTCGCTCATCTTTTTTATTTTTTGTTTGTCCACTACTTATTATATTAGTTTATATTATTATACGAAATAAATCGAAAAAGTTCTGATACATCTCGAAAAATCAAAACCAAGACTAGGAATTTTTGACAAACAGGATCGAAAATCATTACTCGTTCTACGCAAGAAAGGATTTTTCAATTTAACATTTTGTTCGTTTGAGTTTGATTGTGTCATAGCTCTATAATTCGGATTAGGTTTATCGTTGGATGAACTGAATTGTTGATATTCACCCATTTCCTCTCCGCTCCCCAGCCATTTCATTTTTTGGGTAAAAAAGATGTGAAAGCATGTTTATCTCTATAAGAACGATGCGTTCCGAGATATGAAGTGGGAGAGAAAGAATAGCATAATTGGGGTTTTGAATAAGACGACCTTCTGATTTTTCATTTTTTTCGTTGAAAAGGGAATAAGAACGAGAGGTGTAAAGCTTTTTATCATATTGACGGTGAGCTATTTTTTCGCAGGAGTGTCATTATTTAAAAAAATTGTAAAAAGTCACCGTGTCGGATACAGCCACCTTCTTACCCTTTTTATGATCTTCAAGAGTTAGGCCATTATAGGCAAATTCGATTAGGTTGCAATTGGTGCAGACAAATATGATTTTGAGTTTAATTGAAGTTGATTTGTAGCAACTAATGACCAAGCAGATTGCACATTGTTAAGAAGAAATATTAAGAGAGCAATCGAAGGAAAATTACAAGTTTTGGGAATTATATCTAATATTTAGAAAGTTTAGGGACTTAGATGTAAAATTTCTATACTTGAATATGATAAATTTCAAATGAGTGCGAATGGTGAGGATCAAAGTGTAAAGATTAAAAGATGAAGGACATATTACAAAAATAAGGAAGGACTCAAGCTAAACAAACGAAAAAATTCAAAGACCAACTTGAGCAATTCTCCATTGGTAGCAAATGGTTATCTATTAAGCAAAGGAAATCTTATTTAATCGTGCCACAGTTGAGCATTTCTGTCCAATCCTATCTCTCTCGACCTATTAACCGGAGTATGTTGTACAGTTGAGCGAAAGTAAAACTGACGAGCCATTACAAGACCAACACAATGCAATTGAACAAGTGAAAAAAATAAAATCGTGTGATCGCATGGTGACTCTGATCAGTACTTATTTTGATTCCTAGTTTGATTCAGCATCTACTTGAAAAGCAATTAGGACATGAGTTTGACCTCATTCTTGGGTTGTAATTACAACAATTATTCTAACATTCCAAGGGAAGCACATATTACTTAAAAATTTTAGAGCAGCTTTTGGATTCACATATTCCGTATCGAAGTTCAGACATACTTTGCTTGGTTCAAAGAAGAAAAATGAAATTAAAAGAGATTTATCAACGAGTGATTGAAAGATTCAAGGATTTCAAGATTTTTCCATCTTCTTTTCACATTTTAATTTCAAGTGATAACGTATCGATCAAATTTATGTGTTTGTAATCATATGATGCTCGACTAATTGTATAAATATTAGGACAAAGTTGAACCCTGCATTATGGTGTTTTGATATTTAAATTCCAGATTTAGACATTAAATGTTTATTTGATTTTGAATTTGAGTTTGTTGACTTTTCAATTATTTAATCATTAATTGAATTGTTTTATGATTTCTATTGACATTCAATAGAATGAATAGAAACTATTACACAGAGTAGCAACCATTTAAATTTCAATAAGGGATACTAATATACTGCATGATCTTATAAATATTTTTATCATTTAACACATCTTAATATATTTACATTCTTTGTAGAAATATGTTAAGGTCATATGTGAGTATACGATTAATTCTACTCAAAAGATTATTAAATAAATAAGGAACGTTGATTTGCAATTTTGAATAAATGTTGTGAAATAATGAAATTGATATTAAAAGATGCGTATTCAACTGAAACTTTTGAAAATATTGATTTGAGAATTTTAATGATATTCAATTTAAAACTTTGAATACTTTTTTTCGGTATTGGTGTATTCAATATAGATTTTTAAAAACCTTTTAAAAGTCTTTAAAGATCACGATGTATTCAATTAAAACTTTTAAAATGTCTTTATAAGTCACATGACATTCAAAATATCAATGACTTTCTAACACTTATAAAAGTATTTAGGGTATTAACTCTTGAAAAAAGTACAAAAATAAAATTTTGAAATTTGTATTTCATTTACCCCAAAATTTTGGATGACTTTTAAATTGATTAGTTATAAAAGAACTAAAAAATATATATTTCATTTTCTGAAGATTTGTTTTAATTTAAAATTTTTGTCTTTTCAATATTTCTCTTTCCTCTTTCATTCTTCTAGCCATTATATATATCATATATATTATTTATTTATCTAATTAAAGTGATTTAAATTTGTTATTCTTTTAAAATATGTATTTTTTATTATGTGGGGGCATCCACTTCTACTTGAAAACTTCCTAGACCTCTTTTACAAAAACAGGGCCTGTCATCGGCCCTGTTAACCGAGGTTGAGGTGACGGGTGACTTAGCCCCACATCTGTATTTTTGAAATTGAGATATATTCAAATCACGGGCTAAGGCACGCCCCCCAAGCCACTATCACAAGGTCCTGTTATCAAGAATTTTTCGACTTCTTATTGTAACGCTGCTTTAAAGTGAATTATGTTTTATATGAAGATTAAATGTCTTCAAAAGACAAATAAATTCCATAGAAGTTTATATATTTTAAAAAGAAAGTCTAGAGTC